AAAATCGAGAATCTACCGTGACAAAATTGGTGCGGTAGTAGGTCTTTTAAACACAAACGTTCGTTTTTGAAAAATTAGAAAAAAATCACCAAAAATGGGTCCTTTCGTGCTCTAAGAATTTCCTGGATCAATTTTACTGTATAATCTATTAAATCCTAACCCTAAAATATATAAGTTTTAAGGTAATCACGTGAGTGTGAAATTTTGTTGGCGCACCTGGGTAGCCAAAAAAATTTCTAAATACAAATTGTAACATATTAAAAATTAGTTTTCATTTAAACAAAAGTCTTCACAATTTACTAGTGTATATATTATGATAGGATTTTTGTTTTATATTCTAATTTTCACTTTTTTTTGCTGTTTCCAATACTTCATGATTCTTTTCCACAATTAAATCTTCTTCACCACTACTTATTTTAACCACGCGAATACGAGCAATTTCATGATCCCTTATAGATCCCTATAAATGTCAAAATTCCAATTAATTTATAATCTAAGGACTTTTTTTTTTGTTTGTTAAGAATTAGAGTTATTAACCTCTATCAAGCACATAGACAGTGGATTAAGGATCTTCTTTTGAACCAATCTATTAAGTGGTCTGGAGCCTATTATTAAGTAGATAATTATGAGTGCTAATTTGATATGCTCATTTAGAAAGCAAAATTTCGATACCATAAGCTGGGTCATAGCCTTTCTCCGCCAACCATGCTTTAGCATGTTCATCCACATCAACAGTGACATGTCTGTTCTCCAATCGTTGTTGAACCTCTCGAAGGCGAATATCCACTATATCTCGAAGTGCCATACGAGATAGACGGTTGAAGACAATCTATTAAAATTATTAGTTATAGCAAGATGGACTTTACATTCATTTATTATAATCAATATAACTCATCTCTTACCATTTCATCGATACGATTTATGAATTCTGGTGCAAAATGTCTTCTCACAATGTCAAGTACTGCGACTTTTGTCAAATCACCTACTTTACCCTCATCTGCGGTATCTGATGCTACTAAGATATCAGCCCCAAGATTACTTGTCATGATTATGATTGTATTACGGAAATCAATCTATTTATTG